GTGGAGGATCGTTGTGCCCTGCCACCTTCCCTCTCAAAAACCTGTCCTTGTCATGCCGGGCCCCGTTCACACTCCGCCCCGCTCGACCACAAAACCAGTCCAGCTCCCCCGACCACCAAATACCTGGATACTCTACCGGGCTGACAAGTCCAAGGAAATAGATCGAAAGGCACAATCCAGCGTGCCTAAGGAGATTACTTAGGTACGTTTTCCACGAAGCGTTGTCCCACCTGGTTGCTGATGGCTATTCCAGGAGTTCTTGACTTTTGATCTGCCCAACCCGCAGATGAATGGTTGGACTGCGCAGAATCTCAAGATCCAAGCTTTCCTCTCCTCTACAGATCCTTCCATATTCCAGCTCAATGGTTTCAACCCCCAGGATCTCTTACAACACCTGACAGGTAACCTGGAGGTGTCGCTGGGAGACTTGACCTTCCCAAATTTCGATAACCCCATCCCCAACCTTTCCGACTTTTACTTCAGTCACCGACACACTGAGCTTGGAGGCGACTTGACCAGGATTTCCCTGCCATGGAACCCCGTACACCGATGTCTCATGATTTCGGTGGGAATTGCAATGCCGATGATTTCCTCAACTTTGAAGAGAATTTGTCAGAAGCTTCCACTGCTTGCGCACCTCCCATGGAGCAACGGTCACTGGAAACACCTTGGTCGACGTATGCGCCCCCGGCCGGTGCAGCCTATTCATCGATGCGACACGTTGCGGGCAGCTGGCGCCCTCCTCCCGTCGCATCGCCCTCCCCAATTGAACAAAGCCTCCCTGGAGTGTTCACGCATAATTGATCCACAAAATCTTAACGCTCCGCATTTTCCTCACATTATCTTCCCATTGCTATGTCACATTAGAATCCTGCTACTCGCTTTATTGCTTTCCGTCGCCCCCTGCTCCCTGCTCTTACCCCGCACTTTCCTCGCTTTGTCACAACCCATCCTGCTTTCCCGTTGTCCAAAATCGATACTGTCGCAACCCCCAGCCCTGAATCATTTTTCCATTTTATTTACTTTGGGATCCTCTCTTGCTCCCCCGTCATTGTACTACCACACCTATCAATACACTCTACACCCACAACTATTTTATTGCACTGGTTCAATGGTTACACATGGCAATTTCGAACACTGAAAAACGAAGTGCACGAATTTCGCGGTACAAGAGGGTGAATATCACGTTTCACGGGGTGAAAAAAAAATTCACGACGTGGCAAATATTTCGATTCACTCTAACTTGTAGAGAATTGTATTTTCACTGCACTTTGTACACCCAATTCGGTTGTGACGCCATAATGTGGGCTAATTTTCACCCAAATACAACTACCTTTCCTCGTTCGAATCACCGCTCACCTCCTCGATAAGTTTGAATTTGGCAGCAACTTCGGGTCGGAGGAGGCATGCCCATCGCCTCCTGTCTTGAATGCGGCCCGCGAGGCAATCAATACTCTCTACGTCAATCACCTCGGATGGAGGTCCAAGCTCTGAATATTTCGTGTCAAAATATACCATACCCGCCGGGTTTTGACGTGTCAATTCTGCTTGTGCTACCGCCGCAAGACGCAGAGTTCATTCTCGCGTGGATTCTGCATACTCTTCATCGTCTGCATCGCACCGTGCCGGAAAGTCGGCGGAAACCGTAAGGGCTATAGATTTGTGCACTTTCCCGACAAAAGCTTTGCGTTGCAGAACCACCGGCAAGTTTCGGTGGTTCTGGTTCTTGTCAACATCGAGAGTGAACTGTAATGGAATGGTCAGTTTCTCATCTCACAAATGATCGCATTGTGGTTTACCTTGATAAACGTAGCATCGCGCACCGAGTCTGGCGAGGTATGATAAGCCAAAACCCCAAGCTGTAAAAACAGCGCTGCTCCGTGTCTGTGGGCTCGTGAGTAATCAAAATCCTGCCACGGTTTAGAACACATGCCTTACACGAGTAAGAGGTCCAGAGGTTATGCATTGGAACGCAAAAAAACATGAAAACTAGGCAGATTCGCGTCAGTAATGCCAGTGGCACAATATTTTGTTCAAGCTGCATTTTGCAGCTAACTTCACTCTACCCACCCAGGTAAGGGCGAGCAAGGAGCGAAGCCAGAAAAAATGCAGATAGGCGAGAGATTACTCACAGGTTGAGGCAAAAAAAATGAAGCCGACGCGAGGAACTGCAGATAGAGTCGTCAGCAAGGTGAGTGGCAACTTTTCTGCATCGTGTTTCTTTCAGCTGGATGGCACTCCACCCACCCAGGTAAGGGCGAGCAAGAGAAACAACAGCTGATGAACAAGCGCAGAGAAAAGAAATAACCCACTGAGCGGGTTGGAGGCGTGTGGGCAGTAAGAGGCAAGATGCGTGAAGTCACAAAAGTGACTCTTCACGTGACTTCGTGTTTTCTCGTGTCATCATTCGCGCCAATTCCATGCTCAGCGATTCATGCTGGGTTTCCACCATGGCAAGCGCAAGCGATGCATTTGCTGACCTTGGTCTTCCCTAGGGCGATCATGAACCGCGAAACCACCGGACCGCGGAGATTGCGTCGGAAGGCCAAATCAAATCAACTATCCCCGTATTATGCACGGAAAAAATAGATACCAGGTTTGTTTTCTTCATCCATGCATGAATTGACAATGCTCTCGTTCGGACGAGTTGTATTTTATCACAGCGTCAGCGCAGCTCTTGTAGATACCGCCGTGGCGTACTGGAAAAATCGCTGGTCTTCTTCTTTAAATTGACAGTTGTCGAATATCTCATCAACGCCAATGTTCTGAAGCTGGAGCTTTGGAACCCATGGAGATGCCGCGTAAACATGCTTCATGGGATCACGAGTTCACTCATCATATATGCATCAGGTATGGTATCTGGTTTTCGACAAGCAAGTTCAGGAAGGCCGTGGACGACAGATTCATCTTATGAAATGCAAGGACACCCTTTCAAGGAGGACAGTCTGTTCAATTGATTTCAGTATAGGAGGGCGCGTCCCCACTTTAAAAGTTCAAAGTCTTGATGCATGTATAAATTTTCTCTTCTAGAATGCAGCCCATTGGCTCTCAAATCCCGACAGGCATTGCCATTAAGCAGGTTTCACGGGGGGGCGGGGCCGACAAAGAGGTCGGGGTCGGACCGGGGTTATCAAGCTTGCGCAGGCAGACAAATGATGGCGGGACAAAGCCGGTGTCAAGTCCACGTGTGGGTGGGGCGGTCACCCGACAAAGGCGGTGCACAGACACCGGACAGACAACGTGCGGGTGGGGTCGGGTGTCGACAAAGGCGACGCGGAGGTAGTATCCTGTGTCGACAAAGGCGGCATGCGGGTGGGGCCGTGTGTTGACAAAGGCAATGTGCGGGGATAAGTGTGTGCCGACAAAGGGGACGTGCGGAGATGGACGTGGGGCGGGCAGTTGCGTGACGTCGGGTTTGGGCGGGAGCGTGACGTGCGTGGCGTGGGCTGGGTTGCAGGCGGGCAGCTGCATGACACCGGGCCCGGCCGGGACAAATGCGAGCGCCATGGCGAGCATCAAGCAACCGTAGATCCGCGTCATCACATGGGCGCGGCTCTTTGCTCAGCTCCGTCAAGGCCCCGCTCGGCATTACTTGCCGCTTGCGCCCATCTAGTGCTCAAATCCGGTTCAAAAATTCATACAGTGCGGTCAAAAAGCAGGTTAAGTCTTTATCACATTTGTTGTACTTAATTAAACACTTAGTTCCACCTTGTTAATACGAAATGTGAGTCTCACAAAGGCCTTTGTCAAGCCTTTGTGGCGTGTCACACGGACGTGCCGCATACATGCACGCATTGCACTTGGGGTTCAAGTGCCCCGATCACTGCCCCCAGTGTGTGTATCAAGCATGTCAAGGGCGCCAATCTCTCTGCCTGCCTTCTGGACGAGTCTATGCCACCCTCGTCACTTCGTCAGTTCGTCACCTCATATAAATTTAGCAGATTTGAGGATTGTTCGTCACTTGGGACTCCTGTCTGTGAATGTTCGTCAGTTCAGATTCTCTGCTGTGAAATTTCGTCAGCTCAACGTTTTTGTCATGCAAAGCACGTGGCCGTTCCATGCCACTGCTGTCACCCGCCTTCTTAGTTCTCCGACCACCACGACTAACCGCTACACCGCATCCACAACATTGATGCACCTCAACAATATCTGGGTTGAAAATCAGGCGCTCGACGCTCAGATGTGGATGCAGCAGGGTGCCGACACCTCGTCAAGCGCCTCACCAACCGGCACTTCGGTTCCGTTGTGCTTCACCAACTAGGCACTATTCTCGGAGCCAATGGCGACATGGAGGCCGCTGCAGTCGGTTTAGCTGATGCCATACTTCCCACGATCAATATACCAGAGGTGGCGGCCAAGGTGCGGAGTGCAGCTCTTCTCAAGTTTATTTTGCCCATTTGCTTTTCGCATTTGAAGCAGTTTGTTCGAGCCGTAGCTGTAATATAAAGGCAAAATGGCCTGGTTGTAGCCAGGTGAACACTTTGCCTTCCAGCACGGCTGTAGCCAGGGCCCTGGCTAAGGGTCCTTTTTGCTTTGCCTGTCGCCGGCTTTCCCGGTGCCCAGCCGCCCTTTTGGGTGCCTTTGATTTCCCTTTTTAGGGAGATATCATCATTTCCATCGGTTGCTCTCCGGTTGTGACTAGATTTGTTATAATTGATGTATTATAACAAATCTAATCAGCCTCTGGACCAAATATAACTGCCATCACAATTTGATGACCTCCGTCCCTGCCATCAAATATCGCATCATTCCCTGCCCCCTGCCCGCGCCTCCTGTCAATGCTCCCTCAATTTTTGGGACACCTCCCAACTTCATATAAATCCTTGTTTACTATACTATGTACAATAAATAAAAAATAAAAAATAAAAAATAAAGTCTCCTTCCTTACAATCTCCCCGGTGGGAGTCAAACCCACAGTGGCTGCAAAGGGCACCAGGAAAGCAGCTGATAACCGTTATCAACAGGGACTCCAAAAAAAAAAAAATTGCTGTCCTCTTGTATGCCCCCGGTGGGAGTCGAACCCACAACGGCTGCATAAACTTTATGACACACATGCACATAATACAGCTGATCACCATGATCCACAGGGGCTATGTGCCATTCACCACACATCCCCACAAACACAACAATCAACGAAAGTATCATTGAATAATACGTAGTATATGAATACAAAGAATCAAAGTACGCCAGGATATAGAGGGAGCGAGGAGGTCCAACGGCAAAATGAGTCCTTAAGGGCGTGGGCGCAACAAACCTCGGAATGAAAGGGTGCGCTTAGCTGGTCCACTTCTGAGCCTTAAGCTCGGCTGCCAAAAGACCCCGTAGCATCCACTTCACGTCCGTAACTGCATCCACCCATGATTCCAGTTCTTCTTGCCTGCCATCCTCTCGCACCTTTCCGCCCCACCAATACAATGTCGCGACGAGACTCAGAGCGCCATTTGGCCCTGGGTGGTGAGTTGGCAGGTACGTATCCTCCGGCTTCCCCGCTGGATACACATCCCGGATGAAACGTCCCGGTCTCCCGCGGTCAGCAATACGCCACGCCGGTTGGAGACCATCCCACCATTTCCACCAGTTTGTGTCGTAGACAGCCAGGGACGCAATCGTAGGGCCAACACCGTTTCCAAGCACTCCGCCTCGACCTCCACGTCCTGCCGTGATCCAGACGCTTAACTGCAGCGGACAATTCAGTGTACTGAGTCCCTTGCCGCCCTTCGTGCCCTTGTCCCACTTGTACGTCCGTTCGAGGTCTATGAGTACCCCGAGCAAAGCGTTGAACCCCCCACCGAGGTTGCATTGCGAGACCTCCCTGTACACCTTGCTAAACCACTCCGCCGCGTCTGAGGGGCAAGGCGGAATGATGTCGCCACTTCCATTCGTGGTGAGAGCAGTGTGTGCTGGTGAATTCACCAGCGGAGAGCCCACAGACGATGCGGAAGGGTCAGATGTGTCTGTCGAGGAGCCCTGCCCCCTGCCTCGAAGGAACACTGTCTGCGCTGAAGAGGTCGGCATAGTCTCGCCACTAGGGGAAGTTGCTGACGGACATGCAGGCGTGGGAGTAGGTCCATTGGTGGTAGCGAGAGTTGTCGGGCTAAGCGCACCGGTAGGGAGAGCCGTGGTGGCCGGAGTCGTCGTAGCAGGAGCCGTCAGGGTAAGCGCACCGGCAGGGGGAGCTGCGCTGGTGGTAGCCGGAGTCCTCAGGGTAAGCGCACCAGTAGGGGGAGCAGCCGTGCTAGTGGTAGCCGGAGTCGTGGTAGGCGGCGGCGTCGGGGGAGGTGCTGATTCTCCACTAGCCGACGTTGTCAGTGGCGTGTCCTGCATCTCCACATCATCTATATACGATGCACGTCAGTTCTTTCAGGAAATAGATAACACGATATCCATTTCTCACCCGCAGATGATGCTCCCGTCGTTTCTACGCTGGCGGCACCCGCACCTCGAGCAGAACGCCGCAACGGCGTGGTGCCCGTCTTCCTTTCTGCCTTCTTTGTCCTCTTCCCCATCGGCGGCTTCCCCCCGACCTTCTTGGCTGTCGTTACTTTTCTGATCTCTATGTCCCTCCACAGATCCGGGTCCCGTTGCCTCATGTCGTCGTCCAGCTGCTTCAACATATCCCGATTCCGCGCGATATTGAAGTCACGCTCTCGGGCCAGCTGTTCGGCCCATGACTCCTCCCGCTCGGTCGTGGGAGTGGGCAACGGAAGCGGGCCACCAACGAGGTGCAGCGGCGGTGGCGGAAGCACGGTGGGATCCGCGCCAGTGGCGGTCACATCCCCTCCCCGTGCACGCTTCTTTGGGCCTCCTTTATCCTTCCCATCCGACTTCCTTTTTTTTGACTTCCCCGTTGCACCCTTCCCCCCTGGCTTTTCTGTATACCCCCCCTCCTCCAAGTCGCTGTCGATATCGCTCGTGTCCAAATCCGAGTCATCGTCTGAAGAATCGGACTCGGACGACGAGTCATCGCCATCCCCCTCGTTCCCGAAACCAAGATCCTGCGGAATACCTGGACCCTGGTCGCCTTCCACTGTCTCGGGAAGTGCCGCTTCAGCACATTCTGCAGGAGCTAACAACAGAATGATAAGAAGGAGTGCATATAAGATCAGGCTACGACTTACTAAATGCTGTGTATTCCTTCATGAAGTCCAGTACTTCCTTATTGAACCTTGTCTTGAGCCAATTCGGAAAGTGGCAAGGTATGGTATCATGATTACGACCGTAGGCGACGCTAAAATGTCGAATCAATCATGTATAGTGTTATATTCAAGCGAATACACCCACTGTAGTGTCCTTAAGTCGCCGCCGAATTGTGGCATGGGCCCACCGAATACTACAACTGAATGTAACCCAGTATGTTCATACACGCCCCGCAGAACTGACGACATAAAACCCCCCAGATTGTTGATGCATCTAGGGAGCTGTGAACGCGTCAACACGCAGTCGTAATGAAATTGAAGTCCAGCACTTACTTCTGCCTATCCTCTGGCGCCTTAGAAGGCCCATTCTTCATCGCGGCATTGTATGCATCCTTCCCCTCTTTTGCCGCCGCCTTCGCCCGTGCCCGCAATCCAGCCTGCTGTCCTGGAGACAATTCAGCGAACAGCTCTCGCGCAACCTTTGCACGGAACAGAGCGTTCGGGCCCTTCTGGGACTTGAGCGTCACACCATCACTTTCAGCGCACGACGCCTCCCACCGCGCTTGCACTGTGGGCAAAATGTCGGTCTCGTAGGATTCGTGCATGAATTGCTGGAAAGCCTGGCGCGCCTTTGGAGGACTGTTGATCCCAACAAGCTTTAGAAGCAGCATCGCCCATGGATCACGCGTCCGGTCCATCTTCAGTGGCCTTTTGAGGTGTCGAGCCCGGTATTTCAGCCAGCGTCCAATCCGCTGGGAAAGGAAAGAGAATGTGATCAGCGTCACGCGCGCCGCATCATAATAGAAACACACATACAGCGTCCATCTTCAAAATGTGCTCCCGTTTGATGCATGTCTCCTCATCGTCCAACTCCTTGACCACGGGGCTTGCAAATTCGTCGTACTCTGGCAGTGGCAAGTCTGGCTCTTGGTGGTCTTCCAGGCGCCATGAGATCTTCGCGTGGAACTCATTGCAAACCCGCCGCACATAGTCTCGCTCCGCACGCCAACCACGCTCCAGTGCATCAGCATAACCCGGGATGTGAGGCTTCAAGACGGATTCACGTGCCCCGTCGGCCCACATTTTCAAGTTCCGCCTGTCTTTTTTTTGCTATGCGTTTCCAAACGCGCTTGCGTTCACGACCAGGCTTGGCCATATCTCGAGCTGTCTTTGAAAATTAGTAGGTTGAATCGTTTATAAACAAACCACCCACAAAACTAACCAATGTGATCTTCAAGCCTCCAGTTTGCAACCTCAGCGCTGCTTGAGTCTCTTTTTCGCTTGACACTGACAGCAAAAAGCGCAGGTGGCAGATTATCGGTGCGCTGGCTACATATGATACGACGCGATGGGAAATCAACAAGAGAGGTCACGGTCCCCATCATTATCTGATTTTCTCTCCTATAAAGGGCCTCGCTTGGTTGTCTCTTCATTCTAACTTACTATGGCCAATCACTCCCGCAGCCAGCCCTCCACTGCCCAGCTCCCTATAGCGATTCCGCAATAAGTCACATCACTATCCATATTCACGGATTACTCACTCTGCTTCCAGCTGGTTTGACCATTGTGATCTTGGGATTCCCCCTCGTTGCCTCCCCGACTACCATCCCATATGTGGCGTCTGCTATTGCTACTGAGCCGCCGCCTTCCGCCTCCGTTACTCCTGCGGCTACCGAGTCCGCTTCCGCTGTGACCGCCCCCACCCCTCCGGCCCCCACCGCTCGTGTTCCCGCTGGCAGCGGCCTTCCCGCACCACTTGTCGCTCTCCTCCGCACCACTGGACCATACCTCGCCAACGAGGTATACAGTGTTGTCCCCGCGGAACCGCTCGGTCCCATCAAGGAAGATGTCGCCGCCCCCGAATGTAAGCTATCACTCAGGGTCGCTTCGTCGGCGTCATCGATCAATTGTAATTGTTTTCCATTTCCTATTTGCATGCACTCATTTCTCACTCTCAGTGCCCTCTCCGCAGTCGCCATCAGCGGTGTTGCGCATGCGGCACGTAAAGTGTACACCACTCAGGGTCTGGCCCTCGATGCCTTCAATCAGGCGTTGACCTGGGGCGGAGTGCAAGTCGTCTGATTCCCCTGGGTATGTATTTGATATTTCCCTGCTATTTCGTAAATTCACCTTCGCCTATTAAGCGAGGCAATAGTAGTTGGAGATATCGTATCCCATAAAATACGTACTGGAGGTCATTGACCCAAAAAACCGCTCCCGTAATCTCGTGACCTGAGCAATGGAATTTGAAAGCGAGTGCATGCATTGGTCCAGACAGACAGAAGTATATGTCAAAGCAGTGCGTCCGTTTCGCTTCCTTCAAGATTGCCCATTCACATCCTGATGTCTTTTCCTCGCGGCAGCATCACTGCAGTAAAATAATGGATCAAATCCGGATAACATGAGAAGCATGACGGACGTACGTCTCGCGATAGGCGCAGGGCAATTGGCGGGTGCAACAATTCATGCATTGGGGTTTGGCTCCGTCTAATGCACCATATCAGAGGGTTTCCACCATGTCATGATCTGCTCCGTACTGCAACGGAGGTGTCGCGCTGACAGCAATCAATCAAATACAATCCTATGCTGGTCAAACAAATGAACCACGACAAAACACACAAGCGCGCATCACCCGGAGAGGTGTGCGATATGCCGTGTCATATTTGATTGAGTCGTTTGATTGAGTCGAGTTGCGGTCTCCACAACCACCTCCACTGGCGTTCAGAGCATTGAAAAGCATTAGATGACCGGCAGATAGTACACATTCCTTTCTCTGCACTTATACCCAGGCCAGGTGCATCGACTTCCTTCCCCGACCGCCTTTGCCTCAGCTGACCAACAAAAACTTGTGGGCAGCCCGAAGGTTCACCAACACCCCAGATCTCACGGACGTCAGATAACTGGCCGTGCCACCCCGCTCCAGGCCCGAATGTCGTCTATTTCAAGGAACTGATT